TTGATATTGTTGAGAAAAAAATAAAGGTTTTTCCTAAATGGTTTTTCGAACACCTGTTTTCAGTAAAATGAGCACCCCCTTCACATCCCAATTTGAAACTCGTTCAAACTTTGAAAGAATGTTCTTCCAGCTTCCCTCTATCATCTGTGTTAGTGCAAATTAGCGCAAATGTTTCTGAAGCGTACAGCAGGTTTTCCAAAAAACCATGGTTGTTCAGGTGTTTTCCATTTATATCGGCTCAGAAACGTTTTTATTTACTAACAATGACATATTCAGAATCAACGCAAGGCATCGAATGATGTGAGATTAGTAGGTTTCTCTGAGCAAAAACTTGTTGGATTTAAAGGAACGCTGGATCCGATCTCTGGAGAACCCAGATGAAAGTCTCTTTGGGCTTTGTAAAACACACCGTTGGAAAGAGCATATCTGAAAACCTGTAAAAGAAGTTTTTGTAGACTTTCGGACTGCTTATATAGTACATGTCCGCCTGGCCTATGGAAAAATGCACATGTTATGTCAGGCACTAGAGTCGTTCCATAAAGGAGAAGATCATAGTTATGGTTATTGCGCAAGAGTATATTCAAGGTTATTGCGCAAGGATACTCAATGCTATGGTGCAAGAATATATTCAAGGTTATTACGTAGACCCTTGTCAAGGTTATTGCGCAGAGTCTACTCAAGATTATCGCGCAATATTTCTTATATAAATAGATCAATTTTATTGTTAAGAGATATCTTTTTTACTTGTAAAAAAACGTTAGGTAAGAAAGATCTTAGTTCATCCGGGAACCTAACATTTTTACTATTGTTTGAACTTTTGTTGACAACAACGTTGTCTCATTTTGATTTGTTTGGATTCGATTATATCTACTGTGAACAACGTCATTTTGAATTAAATCAAGTTAGATGTGGAAGTGGTAAAAACGTTGCAAAAAAATGACTTCAATAAGGCGGATAAGTAAGGCGGATTCATATTCAATTGATTCAGTAACAACGACTCGGAATGTGCTCGATGGAATTGTACCGCTTTTAGATTTTAAAACATCCTGCTAAAAAAAGACCTATTTCAAAAACTGACATATGTCAGGAGTTATTCTTTTGTCTATCAAACAAAAAAGATTTTTTGCTCTATGATGAAGTAAAATAGAGTAAAACTCCCTGAGAAAACACAAAAGGCCGCTTTTGAGATGTGATAGCGTTGCTGTGCAAAAAATGTTGATATTGATATATCAACATTTTTTACAAAATTTTAAAATCCACAAGAGAGTCTTAAAATACCCAAGTCATCAGAACCGCTAGTATTTTATCAGTGTGAGCAAACAGTACAGGAGTTCGAATCTGGTTCTCAGCTTTCTTTTTTTTGCCCTGCGTATGCAGCGCAATAAGGTTTCCAAACGGGAAAAACCTGACTCAAGTCAAAGTGCAAACTTCGACGAGTTTCTATAATCTGAAAGAGAAAGTTTAATCTCCAAAAAAATGAAAGCTTTTTAACTTTTCTGCATTTCTTATATAGACTGACAACCGCTAAACAAAAAGGTGGTTATGTCAAAACGGTTTATCGACGGTTGTTTCTTGTACTGCGGTCTGAAAACTACCGTGCAGTAACCGTCAGTACAAGAAAAAACCGTCGCTAAACCGCAGGGTTATACCGAACGGTTCGGTCCAACCGGTGGTATTTCGTTGAACCCTCAAAAAATGCGCGACATGGGTAGCTAGGTTTTCTGTCATCAACCTTTATATTATCTTCCATAAAAGCATCCATTTTAATCTCAAACTTTTTTGCTGATTTTATTGACTTCTTTTGTTTTTGATTTAAGCTGCCACGGTTGCACTATTCACTACAAATCAATACAAAAAGATTTTTATTTGTAAATTAGATTTTAAAATAAATGATATTAGGATTTAAGAAACCTGACACCGAGAAAAGCGACACTCCGACAAAACGCAATAAAGGCATCTTATATACAAAATTTTGCTCTAGGGACATTTTCTATGACTGAAATACAGCTTTCCGCCTGATCGATGACGCGAAAAAACGTAAAGTGTGCGCTTGCGAGGTCAAATAAGTGGCACTGTCATCGTCGTCCGCGACATCGATTTATTTCTGCCGAGACTCAAGACAGTATGGGAAGATGTAATGCAGATGAGAGCTGAGCTGGAGTAGTGACTTAATTAAAACTGTTTTTCGATCGAATTTTTTGCATATCTGATGTAAAATACGCTCTTCTTTCAGATTCGACTATCATTTTCGTCTTCTGAGACGTTCTACACTTTCTATTTTTCGCCGAGATAGTGGCGGACTACTAGGTAAATTTACTTCGGTCAGCTCTCTGCAATGACAGGGTGCATCAGCAATGGTTTTCTGTAAAATGATCCGATCAGTTGGTAGATCAACTATCGATAGGAAAGAGTTTCTAATATGATTGTCCTTTTAATAAAGATTCTAAGAAATCACGTCCATTCATCTTTGCTAACCGATCACTGTCAACCTACTTTTTTATGACTGTTTTTTGTATTCCATGACTTTTGAATGTGTAAGAAAGAAGAAATGGAATTAGATTTCTTCAATCAATCAATGTCAAAGTCAACTTCCTTCTCAACATATAAAGTAGGAATAAAATGTGTCTTTCACAGTTAGTCTGACTACCGTACAACACAAAGAAAATCATGTCTTCAGGTAAAGTCAAAAGTTTTTGTTGATACTTCAAGCCAGAGAGATAGAAATAATACCTGCCCTTCCTTTGGGACTAAAACGGAACAATTATTGTGCCCGATCTTCCTACTTCGCTAAAGAGGACGTTCTTGAGTTCGAGATAGACATTTCTAGCTCCACGCTGTACTGAACATCCTGAGGTGTGAGTGAAAGTGGACGCTGATTGTTAGGGGTATTAATTTAGAGTTACTTTGGAAATTAAATGTAAATGAATCATTTATACTTAAAATATAAAGATAAATTTGTCCTTTATATAAATAAACGAAAAAAAAATTATCCTTATTTTATAAAAGTAAATGATTCATTTATGTTTATTTATTTATTTCTACCTTTATTTCTGAAAATAAATATTTATTTTTAAAAATAAAGGTGAAATAAAGAAAATTTATATAAATGGATCATTTACTTTTATAAAATAAAGATAATCTTTTTGTTTTCATTTATTTATATTTATTTCATAAAGGTAAATGAATCATTTATATTTATTTTTTAAATATAAATGATTCATTTACATTTATCCATTATTATAAATGAACAATAAAACTGAATTAACACCCCTACTGATTGTTCGTTCTTTGTTTTTCTGGACATTCGAAACCTTCAAAAGTTTCTTGGCATGCTGCTGCCTGTAGGTCGAAGTTCGATAAGTATCATTAGTATTGTCGTCATCATCATAATGTCAAGACAGAACATTAATGCCCAATTCAATCTGGATCATACAACACAAACCTCTCAAGTACTGCAATACTACAACTGCCTCTACTATCCAATTACGAGAAGTAGAGCTGATTTCATTTCTGAAGCTCTTGACATCATACCTTTCTGCGTACGGCCACATCATCTGTCACAATATCATCATCATCGTCAGCAGCAGCAGCAGCAGCAGCCGAAGTGCGAAGATGCTCCCAGTTTCACGTTTGCAGAGTTAAAAGTAAAGAATGTACAACCTGCTGATTTACTCAAATGGAATGCACCAACAGCCGTAGCGGAGCAGTATGAAAAGTATTTATTGTTACTGTCCTTGTCTGTAAATCTCGATGGTAAACAAGTCCACTGTAACTGTACTTCATCGCCGTTTGTCTTTGGACAGTTCTGTGAATATACATTTGGCGGTTTTGACGACCTTGATGAGGAGATCTTTAGTTACCTGAACCCATTTGTATATGTGATGGATTCCGTCACCAGAGCAAAGCCGATTCCGTCGAACGAAGAGATGACAAGTGATCATTTGACATGTTATACGGGTCTGCCGGAGTGTAAGACTCTTCATCAGTGTTTAGACTACAGAGAGATTTGCAATGGAATTGTCGATTGTGACGGAGGTGAAGATGAGAAACCCTTAAACTGCTTGCAGCTGGAAATGAACGAGTGTGATGAGAAAACAGAATTTCGATGTAAAAACGGAATGTGTATACCGCGATCATTTGCTTTCGACGGGTTCCACGATTGTCTCGACAGGAGTGACGAACAACGATATGACAGCGAGATGCCGGACAAGTTTAATTGCTACTGGATTGCAGGTTATGATTGTGAAGATTTCCTGCCGCCACGACTCACTTACTCTTGTGGAACGGGACAGTTTATACCACTTTCAAATGTCGCCGTCAGAGGGTTAAGCTTTGATTTTACACAGTGTACTGGCCCGAAACACTGCGGCGACATGGCCTGTCTCAATAGACGTGACTCGATCTATGTAAAACAAATGTTTGAGTTCGACAATAGCAGCCTGTCTTCTGAATGTTGGGAGGCAATGTTGTGTTTGACTGGATTTGCAGCAAAACTGTTTGCCGATGTTGAATGTAACAATTTGCAACAGTGTCCCAATTCCTCATCCTACTTCTTTCCGTCAAATCCCGTTGTTTACTCTTTCGTTTACTTACTTTATGAGCCACCTTTGAATAGTGACGGCAAGCCAAACTACATCTGTTACAATTCATCGATTTGCAACGTCTCAGCTGAAAGAAGAAAAATTCACAACAATTTAACATGTTTTCCAGTCACCGAAGAGATAAACTTTACATGGAAGAACGTCTACGAAGATATTGTCAAATTGTTTTCCACCTGTTTCGAGAAAGCAGTCGCTGCCGCTGTTCTTTCTTCAAACAAATTATTTGACTGTGCTCAGTCACAACAGCTGATATCAAAGTATCGCGTCAAAGATCAACATCGAGATTGTTTCCAGAATGAAGACGAAGCTTTCAGCACAGACATTTGTCTGTTTAATTTGACAAAGAATCATTATTTCAAATGTTTACAGACGTCGGAATGTATTCAACGTACGTTTCTGATGGACTCCAAGTTCGACTGCACAGATGGAAGTGATGAATCCCTCCACTATCGTTGCGAGTCTGTGTCACCTCTCGGCTGTAAATTACTTCGTGACGCTGACGCTAGTAGTATGTCAACTAGCAACGTAATTTCGTTTCGTGAACTCTGCGATGGCATCGTCGATAAATTCTTTCTGACTACAAATAGCAGTGAAACAGATGAAACAGATTGTGAACATTGGGGTTATACATGCGAGGATTCACTGTACACAAAGTGTGATCAACGGTGGCACTGTCCGGATGGTCGAGATGAACTCAATTGTCCTTGGGAAGCAACGTATGCTACACGAATACAGCAGCAGCTCAACTGTTCACGAACGGAGCACTATTGTGTCCAACTGTTAGGTGCTACCTGCTTGTCTTTGGCGAGGGCAGGCGATGGTGTGATTGATTGTCTGGGGGCTACGGACGAGAGGCGTACAGCAAACAAATGTTATGAGAAACATCCGTTTCTGCCAGACAAACGGTTTCTCTGTGCAAACACAATTGGTGATTCGCCTCCCGTCTGTTTAACACCCGAACAAGTATGTGATGGGCAAGTTCAGTGTCCCGCCGGCGATGATGAAAGATTTTGTTATCATCCGCGATGTCCACGGTACCACCCTAACGTCGACTTTCGCTTTGAAAATGCCTTGTTCTGTGATCTGACAGATCGAAAGACGGTAGAGAATATACTGCCTATGAGTGAAATTGGAAACTATTTACCGACTGTAGTTGTTGAAGGAAAAGTGCTCTCGTCCGTTGAAGGAAAAGCGCTCTCGTCTGTTAAAGGAAAAGGACTCTCGTCCATTGAAGAAAAATTTCGTCTCTGGTATTGTAACCGTGGAATTCTGCTGCTGATGAAGTCAGGAGTAGAATGCCTCTGTCCTCCCGCCTACTATGGCCGTCGTTGTGAGTATCAAGCATCGCGTCTAAGTGTCATACTGAAACTGCGCCCTGCCTACTTCATAGATCCAACGACGGTGTTTCGACTGGTTATCTATCTTTTGAGCAACGAGAATAACAGCACAGTTTTATCGTACGAGGAGATTTTGTACAATCCATACTATAACCTAGCCAATGTATTGTACAACGAGAAACCTTACATCGCTTACTTGCCTTTTCAACATAATCTTCTTCCCTCACACGTGCGCATCGATTCATTTGTCATCACCTCAATATCTCTCACGTACATCTCAAGTTGGCTTTTCAACGTGTTATTTGCTTCATTTCTACCTGTTACACGACTGGCTGTTTCCTTGTCGATTGAAAATAAACAACACACGTGTAAGACAAAAAAGCTTCGTTGTGGGAAACACGGACAGTGTATGTCTTATTTGAATTGGGCAAGGAAAGAATTCTGTTGGTGTGAGCGGGGCTGGTACGGTGACCGCTGTCAGTACGAGTCTTCATCGTCGTCTTGCTCTTCTTGTTCACCACACTCACAATGTCTCGTGATCAACGATCGGGAGCAAAGGTGTCTTTGTCCACTTGGAAAGTACGGTCCACAGTGTTACCTCACGTACGATCAGTGTTCCAAAGGATTATGCAAACACAACAGTACGTGCGTACCATTGGATTACCGAAACGTGGGCTACGTTTGCGTATGCAGTGCTAGATACTCAGGTCTTTGTAGTTTTTTGGATTGCGATAACAGCTGTTTTACTGATGTGAATATTTTAATCTCCGATAATATTACAACAACACGTAGTAGTATTTTACCGGCCGTTGCTTACATTGGTTTCGTTCTAAATGATGCTTCTATGCTCACACATATCGCACTACTATTTAAAAATCTGAGAACACCTGCACGACTACAGCTGGCAACAGTTCATTACGGTGGCCAGCTGCTTCGAATCTACTGGAATTCTACAAGCAGCTCTTACTATCTACTCAGTCTCACTACACAGGACCTTGAAGGTGTGAGTTTAAGTATCTCTGTTCAGAAATCACAGGGATGTTCAGATATTAAAGAGCTATTCAATGACACAGTTTTGACACATTACACGTATCTCCGACGTTTAAAACTGTATCATCAGCCATGCATGGCGAATTTCGACCTCAAATGTTTCTTTGATGAGCAGCACATGTGTTTCTGTACAAAGCAGCATCGAAGCGCTTGCTTTCCGTTTGATCATTCCTCCAGGAAGTGCAGTTACTGTGAGAACAACGGCCTGTGTCTACAGCCTAGTTTACTGACCGATGCACAATGGGACTTTGTTTGCCTGTGTCCAAAATGTTACTTTGGTCAGCGGTGTCAGTTTACCACGGGACAATACTTTATTACCTTTGATATGTTGATTGGTGGCACAGAACAGTCAAAAATTATTAATCTCACATTGGCTTGTGTGTGTGTCATCGTCGTTCTTGGCCTGATCTCTAATATTCTCAGTGTTTGCACATTTAAAGATGAGAAGCAGCGGGAAGTTGGTTGCGGGCTGTACCTGCTTGTCCTATCTTCAGTCAATATCGTCGGTCTTCTCGTCTTCGAACTACGGTTTCTCTACATGTTAGTCTCACAAGTGTACGTTATCGAAAGTGAGCTATTTCTCAAAGTTAGCTGTGTTGGCCTTGAGTATTTGGTACGTCTACTTCCAGCCGTCTTCGACTGGCTCACCGTTTGTATTTCTGTTGAACGTGCTTACATGGTTCGGAAAGGTAATCAGTTTCGAAAGCCGGAGAAGTTGAAGGCATTGAAGACTGCACGTTCCCTCCTGCCACTCATTTTCCTCCTTGCACTGGCCACCACACTTCCCCGTGCATTCTACCTCAGGCTGATCGATGAGCCGACGTTCAAAGGCAGTGAAAGAGGTCATCCCAGTTGTGCTCTCAGCTTCACCGGCTGGCTTCAGTGGTATGAACGAGCAGTTAACATTGTTCATCTCGTCATCCCGTTCTGCCTCAATCTAATTTCCCTCGCCGTGTTCCTCGCACATCAGATCGAAGAGCACAGGAAACCGACAGCCGGAAATCAGCAGCGAGGGAATCAGCACAAGACAAGGCGGATGTTAGCAGAAGAACAGGTGTCAAAGTACAAGCCGTTAGTTATAAGTACACTGGTGATTATCTTGCTGGAAACACCACGTCTCCTGTTTACATTTGTTCTCTCCTGTGTAGAATACGATTGGCAACGATACTTGTATCTGAGCAGCTATCTAGTTTCATTTCTACCGTTAACAATGACATTCATTATCTATGTACTACCGTCACCAAGTTACAAAAAGGAATTTAAATCATTTGTAAAACGTAGATTGCAGCAGCGACAGCATCGTGCCTGACCGAAATTATAAGAAGTACAGTTCAAATGGAAAATAGAAACTTGGTCTGACAGAATGGTTCGGCTCGAACGCGCAAGAGGGCAAAAAACACGCTGCTCAAACTGCGAAATGTAAACTTGTTTTCTGTGTAATCAGAACAATGTATTTTTTAAATAAATTTCATGTACCGATTAGGTTGTCCTTTTTCCTCTAAAAAATATAAAACATCAGTCTTCGCACAGTTTGCGCATGTGTACTCTACTTTTTTATGTTTTCGTTGACTCTGAATAGATAAATGTCCGCTTTAGCATTTCGTATTTTGATAGTACATCAAGGGAAAACATTCTGCTAAAAATTCTTGCTTATATTTTGCGAAGAATTGAATTCTCGATCGAATGACTACCTTTTAGGGGTGCCGCTTTACCGTTTCTTTACAGGTAACGCAGTAACGCATGCGTTATTGCATTACTAGTAATGACTAACGCACGCGTTATTGCGTTTAAGTAACTTCGAGTAACGCAGTAACGCTTATGATACAAGTCAAGCTAATAATTACTTATATTTTTTTTGCTGATATAACTATTGTTGGCACGATTGAGTTTCTGATTTATTCGACTGTATTTAGTTGATGATGCAGCTCACATTATGCCGCCAAGTGATGCTAAAGGAATGAACATAGCTATTTCCGATGCAAAAGTTTTGGCGACGCTCTTACCGCTTATATGAGTATGATAAATCCCACCTTCTCGATTCTTATTCAAAAACGTGTTTAGATCATGTTTGACTAGCACAAGAGTTTGCTCTTATCGTTTCACAGCTTCTTCACCAATAGTTTTGGTCAACCTTTTATGATTTTTGCGAAAGTCAACAATCGCAAAATTTTAAAGTAATTCTTTACATTAATCCATCCTAATATTTCATATAACTTCTCTTTCGAGGTACCTTTCATAGCTCCTGAGACACTTAACGCCGCTTGATACTGTAGACTTTCTAACTTAACGAGATTCGTTTCTGCAGTCAATGAGTAAATTATTGAACCATAATTTATAATCAATAAAACACAAGACTTATAAACAATCTCCAGAACATTTTTGGGTCGTGTATGTTTGTAAAATTTCGTTATACCGACTATAGAAGATACTCGAAACAGAATCTTGTTAATATGACTTGTCCATGTTAAGTCGAAGGATAAGAGCAGATCTAAATATCTTACTTCTTTTTTTTCTGCGATAGATGAACCGTTCAATAACAACGGCGTTGTGATGTATCTTTGTGATGATATCGCGTAGAAAAAGTAATTGACTCACATTTTGATGAGTTTAAAGGTATATAGCATTTCTCTGACCATTCTTCTATTTTTTTTGAGATCGTGGTTTAGATTTTGCTCGGAGAAAGCTGGATCTTTATGATGATTTAAGAGAATAACATCATCTGCGAACAATCTCATAACACTTTCTATGTCATTAGGTAAATCATCAATATATACTAAAAATAGTAGAGGTCCAATAACCGATTCTTGTGGTACACCTTTTGATATTTTTTTTCAACAAAAGAGTTTTCTTACAAGTTCCAGTTCATTACTGGCAGACATTATAATGAATATTGTCTGTTCAAGAATGCTTAACTGTCGAATCATTTCTGTTATTTGTTCCATACTAAGGGTATTATTCGCGATTGGCGAATAACGATTGGTCTGCATTTGCGATTCAACTAATGACAATTCTTATCGTTTTGATGTTTTTCAAAGAACGGAAGATAACAGTTGATGAAACACGATCTCTCTTAGCTGCTAGACTATCATCATTTAACTTTAATGTCTTCAGTATTCTTAACAAGCAAAATCGTACACGGAAACAGTCACTAAGCATTTATCTAACATTAATTTCTTTTTCATTTTTTACATTGGCTTCAGTGTTGCGTACGGAACCATTTTTATTATACCAACAGAATTTCCCGTTTTGTTACACATCCAAAGATATTGGTTATTACAATACGGTTAGTGCGATAGTAACCTGCATCCTTTCGGTAGTTGGGATGAAACTTTTAAAACATCTGGGTGCAACAGATATTCTGACATCTTTAATAAGTAACATATTTTTTATGCTATCAACTTTATGGGTGATATTTTCAATAAAAAGTTGGCATAGTTCTCCTATTTCATCCGTTTTCTTATTATCAATCATCTTTGACATTTTACATCTTACTGGAACAATTGGAATTCAATGAAGTCGTAACGGAAATGACATTCTTAACAGAAATAATGGCCATTATCCAGGCCTGTGGTACTTCAACATTCACTTTAATTTATGCGAAAACAGTTGAATACCAGAGAAATTGTACAATGTTATTAGCAGTGGTTTTGTGTTTTGTATCATTGCTACTTAATGGGTAAGTTAGTCAGTCCGACTAATCATCCTTCTTTATGTGTCAGGAAATTGCTCCGCGCATAAAGAATGAGCAAATTCTGCGTTAAGAATTGTGTAAAGGTAGTAGGGGTGGCACATTTTCTTTACTGATGCGTTACTTTACTGAGTAAAGCAACGCTTTCAAATATCACCGTATGAGTGACGAACAACCGAAAATGTATTGTTTTATCACCTTCCGGACACAGTGCGACTAAAGCGTTACTATATTATGCGTTACTAGTAACGAGTAACGCACGCGTTATTGCGTTTAAGTAACTTCGAGTAACGCAGTAACGCTTATGATACAAGTCAAGCTAATAATTACTTATATTTTTTTTCAGCATTATCTCAGCTATGTATTGATATAAAAAAATATGTATTTGGAAATTGTACTAACTATAAAGAATGAAGAAACTTCTTCCAACGTCAGCTTAGTATTATATCAACTCAGTACAGTCGCATTGCTGTGGTTAGCTGGACTGCAAACTAAGATCTGGACACGTCCAAATGTTCATTAGACGCCCTTCTATCGATGCTGATCTCCCAAAAGTTACTAAATTCTCCAAGATTATTGGGCGAATTTTGAAAAAACCTGTACGTTTTCGCGAGTATTTCATACTTTTTCCAATATCGAAGCAACATTTTCTATGAAATATTACCATATTCTGAATCAGTGTGAAAAACTGCATCGAATGCTGTATAACTCATCTAGTTTCGGTAGCTCGATTTTGAATTCTAGAAATTTCTTAGTTTTTGAGATTCACACAAACAATTTCGTGCTGAAAATTTGAATTTCAAGATAAAGTAACCTGAACGACTCGAAACATGTTTCTTATAGGTTTTCGACAATGCTCTTTCCAGTGGCATCGTTTTTAAATATTGAGAAAGTTTTCTGAAGGGTTTTCGAAAGATCGGATCTCTGGAAAACTCCTTAGAAAACTTTTTCAAAACCCAACTCTCATGCCATTAGAAAGAGGATCATGAAAAACCTATAAGAAAATGGTTCATGAAATTTCAGTTCACTCATAAAGCTAAACTCCGCCTGCTCTAGCAAAAAATGCCCACTGTGTGTACGTTGCTCGGCTGAAGAGTTATCTATCTCACAAAACGTCACGGACTTACGTAAAAGTGGACTTTTACGTGGAATGGTCGTGTTCATCTTTTTATATACACAAGAAAGGAGGTGCGCACTAGAACTTTATTTCGTATTCTGCCAATGTCTTTGATGTGATATATATACAAGAGTTAATAAAAAGTAATCTACAGAAAAAAATGAAGAAAATGGTGAAGAAAAGATAGATTTTATATATTTTCTCTCTTATACAAACATCAAAGAGAAGCTCTATACGTTCTACGATTGCTCCATTTGCTCTGTTTACTTCATCTGCTCCGAACATAATTTTGACGGCTTCCCTAACGTACCTTTCATTGTAAGTTTATGGCTAATCTTATAACTCTCTCATTCTTCAATGAATAATGACCCGAAAGTTTTTTCCAAGTAGCTAAGGCATGCGGTTAGTCGGTCTGTAAAGCTCAACAAAATATCTTACTTGGATCCGGAATATTGCTCGAGATACTTTAGAATATGGATGTTTTCACCTGCGTCAAGGTTACATTGCGAATAACGTTTGCCGGCCACTTCGACTTTAACAAGGTAACTTGTTTGACAAAAAAGATATACTTAGAGGAACCCAGTCATAAAAAATCAAACTGTTTATCTGGACCTCAGGCTTAGCCGATAGGTAGGAGACACATGTGTTTAGAGCAGTACTTTGCTATGTAGATTTTCGAAATGGCAGGCTCGGACATTTTGTTTCGAAAGGTACACCGTGATGAGCTTTTTCAGACGACTGGGTTTTTCATAGTACAGCCCCAACTGTTCTCTATCAAATGCTGAAATCCGCAGGTCTTTTATCTCATTCCTATCAAAAGTTATTCGAAAAACGGTAGTGTTCCTTCTGTTTTGAAACAGATAGTACTTCAGAATATCATGATATACTCCATTTTAGTTGTATTGTATCGTAAAACGTGTACTGTAGGTTGCAAAAGCCAACAGAAAAACTTTGTGTTGAAATCCTTTTAGTTAGACCATATGCGTTGTCAAATTGAAGACACTCATATTAAGTTGAACACAAGTAACTCCTTGATTGAGCTTCAGCGCGTAGTGATTTAAGTTTAAATAGTATCTTATTAGTCCATGTCGGTTTTTTTTAAAGATTTTTGCAGAAATCTGCGTTTTTTAAGCTTTTTCGGTGAAAAATTTTCTTAGTGATTTTCCTAGTGGTTCCACTGAGCTTGGAGGAGACCGAGGCTTGTCTGTAGGCGGGTTCGATGAAGCTGTCTGGTGACTGTCTGAGAAACATCGCATAAAGCTTTATTGTAATTACACACAATAATATTTTATGCATTATAAACGATGCGTTTCTGACATTTTATCGTGAAAATTTTTGTTTCTGTAAAAGAACACAGAAGAAATTCATATGTGTGATGATACGTGAATCACGGAAATATTACTACCGGTTTTTGCAAAAAAATGGACTCAAATTTTTCAAAATTTGAGTCATGTTGGTCAAAGAACATTTTTGGTAACGGAACCATAAAGAAATTTTCATGTTTAGGTCGTAAAAACAGTCATTTACTAAAAAAAGAGTATTTTTCTATACATTTTACATACATTGTTCTTATTAGGAACATTATTTAGCTGAGTGCTCGTATTAGGAACAGTGTTCCTAATAACAACAGACACATCACTTTTATAATTGTAATAAATCAATTATTTCAAATTGAAAAAATCTGAACCTTTGGATTTTAACTACTCAATCGACAAGGAACATTTTTTGTTGCAGAAGTTTTTCAAAATTTTCAAGTTCAGATATAAAAAAATCTTGTTTACTAAAAATCTTTGATTTTCTATGTATTTTACATAGACTGTTCGTATTAGGAACATTTTTTAGCTCGTCGTTCTTATTAGGAACATGGTTCCTAATGCGAACAAATTCATTTCTCCGAAATATACCGCCAATTACTCAATTAATTTTCAAATTAGCTGATTTTGGCATCATTCGATTAGCCAGACACTCCTCTACCCCGAAATGCAAAAAACTTTTTTTTACTATAAAAAATGGCTCAGAAAACAACAAACCAATCGAGATCACTGTCGAAGTTGTTCTTATTAGGAATATTGCCTGTAGGGTTCCGAGCGATATTGAACCATTCACTGTTCGAAATATCAGAATATCAATCTATAGTCATTCATCCTCTAGGTCTTTTCATAATGTGATTATTGTCTTTATCTAAACCAATATGTGGTATGATTCATACTCGAAAGTTCACGTTAGTTTTCAAATATAAAAAGAAACATCTAGGTTTTTCAATTTTTCATCAAAGAATTATGACTTTTCATTTATAAATTTGATTATTCTCACGCTCTGTTCTTTTACAACCAGATAGAAATTTCAGCTGGCTGATGATTTCCAAAGTGTTTGCTTTTAGATACGTGTTTTTATTAGTTCCTTCAATTGTTTGGGTTTGCTTCATGGCAACATCTGATCCACAGTTCACTGTTCGTGAACTTGATAAGTCACTCAATGATTTCTGAATTTGCTCAAATCGTCGGAGAATGGACTGAAAGCAACTGTAAGTATGGAACAGAATAAAACTTTATTTGAAACTGAATGTTTTCTTATTAGGGAATACAAGCCATCGTTCACCTGCAACACTTGATATAATGAATACAGTTTTCAAATAATGTAAATAATTCTGCTTATCGGGAAGTTTCGAATATGATTTTTTTATTTCAACATGTTTTGTTCCACATCAGCAGAAAATTTTGACTCGTCCTTCAACGTGCGAAAATTTCCGTCACATAAACAGCTTATTTTCAAGTTTCAGAAGTTCATGGCAGTCCGTTATGAAGAAAAATACGCACTCTCGAACAGGCTGCAGTTAAGTTTTCTCAACTTCAAGAACTTTACCGTGTAAGTAGAAACTAAGCAGAACTTTTTTTTAGCAAGATATTTGATCGTGAAGTAAGTTGTTAAAAAACGAAGAAGTCCTGCAGTTTTTGCCGTAACTCGGCTTTATAAACCGTAGCTAGTCCCAAGCGTTTTACTCAAAGAATAATCTACAAACTAATTTAGAAAACTATCGAGATTTTCAGAAAAAATGTCTTTAAAGAACTATCACTCTGACGGCACAGAAGTTATGTTCGTGTAACATTTTCAATATTACGCAAAAACAGATGTGTACAAACTGAAAATGACTTTCACTTTGTCAGCTGACAAATCTTCTCGACGGACTGAATTAAAAGCAAAATCACATTAAAGTACGCCTGTGAAATCCTTCTATTCTAGCTTTTCAAATCTTCTTGAAGCAGTCTAAAGTTTGACTGCGCTAGTTCGTATCCTTTTTGAAGAAATGAGAAAAACGTTTTATTTCTAGTTGGACATAGACAAGAAAAAAAGTAAGACAAAAAAATGAATTAACTACCACCAATCGGAAAAAAAGGTTTTACACAGACAAAGAAAAAAAAAAGTTTCAGACTTCACAATGACAAATGAAACACTAGAATCCTTGCAAGGGTCTAATGTTTATGAGATGACACAAAATCTCGACTTGTGAAGTTTACGTATTTCATGATCTTGTTGTTTAACCTTTTGTGTGAGTGCCTCCAGATTCGCTTGTGTCTGTGTCAGTGCAAGTTCCATTTATGCCGTAGAAGTCTGTTGTTGTCGTAGACGTTCAATTTCAGATTTCATAACTTCCATTTGTTTTGCCAATCTTCGTTGTTCTGCTTGACTGTCAGCAGCAGTCTGACGTTTTTGTCGCAGTTCTACCGTTTGTATTCCAGTATTTTGTGTTTGTTCAGCATTCAAATCGGCTGATTGTTCTGCCATTCCACTTTGCATAATTTTAATCATTTTTATTAATTCATTTTGCTGTGCTTGACTGCTGGGTTCGGCTGCTTCTTGCTGTTCTACTTCAGCTCGTAAATTTGTCTCACTTTGTTCAAAATCTTTCTTCGCTTGATCAAATTCACTTTGTTTTTGATGTATTTCATTCTGTAACTGTTCACGACGATGACCGAATTCTTGCTGTTTTTGTTTCATTTCCTCTTTCATCTTTTTAATTTGATCAACTTGCAACTGAATATCACCTTTCTTCACATACTAAAAACACAAGGAGCAAAATTTCGTTAAATTTCTAGTCAGTTTTATCTACTCTCCGTCACACACTGGGCAATGCTAAGAACATTTTTTGCAAAGCAACAAAAGAGACATTTTCAAAATTCAAAAAGCGTCACATCGGCTATAGGCTAACAGCAAAATTGACTTAAATGTCGAAGGTGGACGAGAAAACTCACGTGAGTTTCAATTTTAACCGCTCTTTACCAAAAACACAGTTTTCAAAATTCGAAACACTTATATATGGTGAACTTAGCGCCGGGGGCTTAAGACAGCTTCAAATATTTGGAGCCTTTTCAGGAAATGTCTGTCAGGTACGAGACATACATACAGATGCTCAAATATTTCTAAGCTATGAGTTGTTCAGAATTCCTGATCTTTCAGCTGAGTTTATGCCTTTCTTTCGACGCTGAAGCAGCTAATTAAAAACAGGTTCGAAATAGAAGTGCACCGAGATGTTCGCCTTTCGATTACTTCACTTAATTTGTTTTTGAAATAACAGTTTTCCAATTTTTTTACTGACACCGGAACTGATGATTTTGAAAGGCATCTTGAGCTTTGAGAAAGACGAGCTTAGTTTTGTAGATTACTTTTTCAGACTGCTTCTGGTGTATATGATAAAAACTGCTGTTAAGCGCGTGCTTTGCATTCGTCCTAGTGCGGTTGTTGAACCGAGGAACGCGATTTTTGTACATCTCTTCTAAGTTTAGATAGCGTAGTGTAAGTTTGTATACTGAGAAAACTACGCCATATCGTATTTTTGGTGATCCATATTTCGCCAACGTTTTCAGAAACATTTTTTGTCACCTTATTTTTGCGACGTCCGCTCTACGCGCTTACAGAGAGGAGTTTCACAGTTTAGAGGTGTAGACAAGGTTTTTTGTAAGGTTTCACGTACGCGCTTTCTTTTAACATAAAAGTTCTGGCAAAAATCTTTTCTAGTTTTACTAATGAACCGGAGTCAAGATCAGTCTTCAGTTATTTTTTTGACCGATCGAACCAAAGTAGATTTTGTGCTTTCCTGCGACGAGCATTTTACATGAGTAAATATTTTTTTTGAAAATGAGGAAGTCAATATGATCAAAAAAAGGTTTCATTTTCATAAATGTTAGTGCTCTTTGCGCCTTTGGACGATCTACGAAAGAATCACGTCGTGTTAATTACGTGGAAACTCAAAAACTCTATAGTAAGATGAAAGCTGTGCCACTGTATACAAATTTTTCAGTGACAAAATAAATGCACCATTGTGTGGAGAAATCTTTACAAAATCTGATGTTTAAAACAAGAGATTCTTTTTGGTCATATTTCGCGGTTAAAAAATTAAAAGCCTCTTTTCAAAAAGTTCAAAATGTGGTTTCGGGCTAGAAAGCTAACTTTTTCGGAAAACGAATATCAGCTGTGTTCTTATAAAGAACTGCACTTGATATGTATTAAAAACTTGAGATTTCGAAAATTTAATCTTCAAAAACTTGAGATTTCGAAAATTTAATCTTCAAAAACTATATCAGGGAAATGCCGTCTAACTGGGACAAGCTGATAAGGTGGTTTGGAAACAAATGTGGGATTCATGTAACCTAAACTAAATAAATTTTTCGACGAACATTTCAGAATAAAATTGACTTAACCGGTTCAGAAGAAAAATGATCTCTAGAAGTAGAGCATAACTAACTTTTATTTCATCAAAACATCTCTGTACAGTTCTTTATTCGACGGATAAATCCTCGTGTTAGTATAAAGTAATAATAAGTATAATTAAAGTTCAAAAATGCACTTCTGATGTGCATTTTTGAACTTTAATTTATATACGAAACTTTTAGGGTATAGAAAACTATTACGGATCATCAACTAACACGAGGATTTATCCGTCGAATAAAGAACTGTACAGAGATGTTTTAATGAAATAAGAGTTAGTTATGCTCTACTTTTAGAGATCATTTTTCTTCTGAAGCGGCTAAGTCTCACTTGGCATTTCCGACAGATTAGATGGCCGGGTGGATCAAACATCCTAACTTGCTGCGTGAGCCATTGCAATCAAGTGTAGAACACTGTTTCTTGAACCACCGCGTGCATTTACCTAAGAAAAAAACAAGAAATTCTACATTTTACTAACGAAGTTGAAGCGAATTGAACAAAATTCCTCCTAAAGATTATCAGTTATTCATAGAGAAATAAAAGGAAATAATGCGCGTGGTGGGCGTGACAGAAAAGGTCTTTTGTCTTAGTGCGTCTGATGAATTTCAATTTGTAAGCAACAAAGAGAGTCAGAGCAAAGGCCCAAGAGCAAGAGTTTTACGCGTTCTGATAGATAGTCCGCACTAGGACGAATGCAAAGCACGTGCTTAACAGCAGTTTTTATCATATACACCAGAAGCTGTCTGAAAAAGTAATCTACAAAACATGAAGGGAGAGGAAAATAGGAAATAATCTCAGGCAGCAGGCATCATTCAATTGAAAAAAATTTTTTTATTAAGGTGCTCTCACAACGAAAAGATTTGCAGATTGAAGATTTTTGTACGTAAGATTAACTTTTTTCGTTGAGCCATTATAATTTTTTTCGCTTGTGAAGGATAAATTTCTAATCTAAAGATCTTTTCGTCCATTTAGGACACAACTTTTGAGAAGAAATGGTCGAACACGGGGAGTGTTCATGTGAAAGTTAGAAATGTGAATGGCCCTTAAAATCACACCGATTTTGGCGTCCCGGTAGCGTGGTGCTGTGGACGAGCCCTAAAATAACTACAGGCCCTAAAAAACCGACAGCTGGAATTTGCACAGACAGCGAATGCGTGAGAAATTTAGAAAGACAATAAGCACTTCTGTAAAGAGACTTCTAGAACTCACAGTGAAAACTGAGAAATTTCTATCAAAACTGTGAAAAACGAGCATAGCATCCTATCTGAAGAAATCTGTAGTTTCTAGTAGACTAAACACTGAATAACGGATCTCAGATTCGTACTTTTAAGGAAAAAAAATTCTGTCATAACCTGTAGGTCAGCAGTAATGCATAATAGAACTAAAACTAGATTTAAGGAAAAAAATTCATTTTTCTTCAAAACAAAACTCTCAGATTCTCAAGCCCATACATTTCTGCTTCCTAAGAAAGTCCTATTCTATATTATTTACTTACCATTTTCGGTGTACACTCGAGAAGTGCTTTTCCTAATTTTAATCGAAGATAATCACGTTGACGTAGTTCGTCCTTATTGATTCGATCGAGGAAACATACTTTAACATCTTGCATATTCAACAGATGTTGTAACTTGACAATTGTTTCACCTTCATACGTTGCTGGACGTTCTGGCGGCAAGTCATTTACCGCCACCAAAAATGAATTACTCTTGAAATCATAAACATTGTTGATGGCATGAAAAGCAATCAAATCTTCATCTTTCAATCTTCCGCTTCCGCCGACATTGAACACAAATGCAACAACAGAATTTGGACATTGTTCGAAGGCTTTGTAAATTTCAATTTTATTCTAAAATATTCGTAGAAAAATTTATTTAGTTTAGTTACATCAACTCCACATTTGTTTCAGTAAAGTTTTATTCATGCCCACAACTGATAAAAAGTTTATTAGGAAAAATTTTACGATCGTTTGTAATTTCAAAACCAAAAGCGTTAAAGCTTTTAGCGGTTTCCCATACCGTATTTTTCAAAGAAAACGTCACGTTTTCTTTTCGTTCTCAGATAACGTAGAAACGTCTTTCAACGTAGAAATTTAGTGGTTCTCTCCGAGACTAGATGGACAGATCAACAGCAGAAGACGTTTTTTTTGACAAGCTATTTTAGGTGATTCACATAGTCCTAAAATGACGTTATGCCGCGGCTTTCTGCGTTACCGATATGAATTTCATTAGGATCAGTTTTCTATTTTCAATCAGATCTAAGACTCTAAGCTAGACGATGCGTTTTCTTTCGAGAGTGGAGTAGAAAAACTTACTCGATCGACAGCCTGTTGATCAGCTTCAATTAGACCGGGAATATTAAAAATGGCACACGAATTGTCTTCATTGATTTTGTATTCTTGAAATTCCGTCTCATGTGTAACCGAATCACAATTACATTCAGCTTTAAATACATCACGACCAATAACAATATTGGCCAAAAAGGATTTTCCACTGCCGCTATTGCCCAGAAATAGACAGCCTGTTTGTGCTGCACCAGCCGAAGCTATCCGTGCTGTTGGAAGATGGTAAAATTCAATCGGATTATTTTCCATTTTTTGTTTCGTTCTTCAGTTTAAATCAAGAGAATATTTTGTAAACAATACAAATGAAGCGTAACGTGTTTTCTTTGTATGGATTGAAAAGAATGACAGAAAGTGAGAAGAATTTCCGTCTCTACACATGTATCTATAGACAAAGTTATCTGCTGGTCAGCTGAGAAAGAATGTAAAATGTAAGAAATTGTAAATACATTGTCTTACATGTCCCATCTTTGTTCGATGTCTACTGTATATATAGAATGAAAACGGTGATTTCTTCCTTTTTTTTTCCAAACAGATAGAATACACACATACACCAAATTTTTGTTTCTACTGTCTACGAAATTTTATCTTGATTTAAAGTGAAAAGAAGAACGTCTCGTTCATTAATGGCATCAAAAGCTTCCGGTGGATCATCGTGTGGTTTAATATTGCTCGGGTAAAGAAGTCATGCATTAGCTACTTCCTTTGGAGTTCTTCCTTTCATTTTTATTTCTTGTGTCAAATGCTGAAGTGTGCAGAAAATGAGTGGAAAGAGAAAGATAGTAGCGGAGACTTATAATGAATTCCTTTTTTTTTTCTTTCAGTAATACGGGAAGTGGAAAGAGTTTTTTGGCCAATGTGTTGGTAAGGGATTTATTCATCACTCCTTCGCATCACCTGCTATCCACTCTCTGGCGGCTTTGTGATATTCTGTACTCATCTGAGAACTACGGAATACCCAGAAAAGTTCGAGAGACAGTTGGCAGAAAAGCATCATTTTTATTTTCAATTTTAGCTCGGTCGTGATGCATTTAAACACGAAGTTTCGTGTGATTCAGTTACACATAAAACTGAATTTCAAGAATTCACGTACAATGGTCAATTGTCGTATGCCATCTTCAACATTCCTGGTTTAATTGAAGCTGATCAATCGGCTGTTGAACAAGTAAGTTGTCCGCTAATCGAGTTACTACAGGTGTTTTCTTTTTTTTCGGCCCTCTTCGAATTTTTTGATGTGTTGTTTTTAATCCTTGCCGACTTTCGCGGCTAGTAAAAACAACGACCACCACGAACGTCGTTATCTTTGGTTAAAATTTCGCACGCCCGTTTTTCCAAGAAAAATTCTTAAGAAATTAGCTGAGAACCGATTATTCACTTTATCTCACAAGAAATGGCGAGAGTGATTTGAAAAAAGCCAAAAAAAGCTATTGTTGGAAGTAGAGATTGTGCCCATTGTAAGTAAAATGTAAGCAATAAGAAAAGTGAAGTTTGAATTGGAGTTTTTAAATGGAAAAACTACATAATTATAAAGAACTTTTTCTTTAAACCGTTCAAGCAAAACGGCTTTCAGAAATCTGTGTAAAAGTTTTGCGCTAGTTTTGCAGAAATGGAGATTTCTCCGAGGTTTATCTGTATGCTGTGGAATTTTTACTACGGATTTTGCACATTATTTCTCAGAATGTTGAAGTCTTTTTAGAAAAAATGAACTGACTTGTTCAGTTTATAGAAATTCTTTTGTTGGCTTTTGATATATCAAAAACTGAAAGTTCGCAGACGTTTACCTTGGCAAAAATTCGTTTTTAAAAAGATCGAAAGACGTCTCGTGAGAAGAAGATACTCTTTGTTTTGAAGTTTGAAAGTCAAAAAACATTTTTGTTCTTCCGAAAGAAACAAGATTTAAAAATATAATTTTGTACCAAGTTCAATCTTCGTTTTCTGATTTGAGTTTCTTTTATTTTGGTTGAGAATAAAGTGCACAGACGTAAAGACGTCTCATTTTAAGGAAAGATAACTGCTGCTCTTAATTCTTTTAGGAAAACTTTCTAATAAAACAGACAAACGGCTTATTCAGAATCAGTGGCATGCCGAAAAAGATAGGGCAGGTGGGGGAAAAGTTCAAAAGCGTAGAAAGCAACAAAGAGTCCGAAAACGGAGAAAATTGTAAAAGTTTTCCGAAGGCGGCTTTCGAAAAGATTGCTGTATTTTTTTTAGAGGCGAGATTGATGTCGCTCAATAGAGGGTAGTGCTTAGCAAAATTTTTCCAAAACGAAGAAAGCATTTCTCTAGAACAGAGAAAGAAAGAAGTCTCGAAAACGGAGAAAACCCAGTCAAGTCTTTTTAAAAGCAGGTGGGTTATAGTCCCTCTGTTCTCCAGCGTTTTGCACGCCACTGTTCAGAGTAAACTCCTGCAAGGCAAAAACTTCATTGTGTCTTTTGCTACCTCTCGCCCGATTACTTAAGAAAGGTTTTTTATACTAATATTTTAGAATAAAGAAGAAATTTACGAAGCTTTTCGACAACGTCCAAATTCATTTGTTGCATTTGTGTTCAGTGGTGGTAACGGTGGTCGTATTAAAGATGAAGATCTTGTTGCATATCGTGCTATCAATAATGTTTATGATTTTAAAACTGGTTCATTTTTAATTGTCGTAAATGATTTGCCCACTGATCGTCCACCAACGTATGAAGGTGAAGCAACTGTTAAATTGGAAAAATTATTAAATATGAATAATGTCACGGTTTGTTTTCTCGATCGAATTAATAAGAAAGTGCCACGTGAACGTGATGATCTTCGTATTAAATTGGGAAGTTTAGTGGCTAAATGTACACCGAAAGATGTAAGTAATTATTTTAAACTTTTAAAAAAGAACTGATTTCGTTAGAATTTGGTTGTCCCAAAAGATAGTATTTTGAAATGATTTGTGAGCTTTCAACAAAGAAAGCTATGTTTAGTTTTCTAAAGCTTCGCTTGTACAAAACTGTTCAGGAGATCTGAAATACTTGGAAAAATGAGTGGTGTGTATGTTTTATAGCTCGCTTTTTTATCTGAACTGATAAAAAGTTTATTTTGTATTAAAGGACTCGAAGAATAAACGTTAGAATGCTCGCATTTAGCACGATCGATTATCTGTCGTCCCCCTTACTTTATTTAGCAATATCTTTCTTTTTCCTTGCAATTTAAAACGTTTCATTAGCTTTCACAGAACGTCGACAATATTGTAGAAAAGTCCAAAAGATCTTTTTCGAGATTCGAATGATATACCGTAATGGCAAGAATTTTGTATCAGTAGCTTTTGAGATCACTAAAGAAAATGGATCTGCAAATGTGCACTCTTTCCACGCCGCCTATATGAAAATTCCCTCTTTTTGTCAGCCATCGGTACATAAAAATATCGCTTTAAGACTTTAACTATGTGAAAAACATTATAATTTGTTCTCCGCTGGATATCCTCCTACCACACCGGACCTAAAGCCTATCAATAGTATAAGGAATTTTCATATTTTCCTTAGCCCCGTTCTTTGAAAGAAAGTTGCGGATTATTTCATTGCACAACAACAATTCTTATGCTAACTTAGGATTCGGCAATAAAAACTCCATATAACAATGTATCTTTCGAGTTTTTTTAATAGTAGCAGCCGTCAACGGCCATTTAAGCTGATGTTTCTTCCGTTGAGGCATTTTAAACCAGATATATGTCGAATAAAAGAGAAGCTATTCTACTAACACAATGATCTGAGAGAGACTTTTATCAGACAGCGTGCTAGAAGATCCCTTGGGAAGGTCTTTTGTGTTGTAGAACTTCTTAAAACCAAACTTATCGTTAAAAAAGACGTCATCATGCATTTTTCGGCAATAAATATGTCAAAAAAAATGAGGTAAACTTTTCGGAATTTCTAGAAAGTTTTCATAAATGAATAGCTTACCGAGAAGTTTCTCATCTTTACGGCGGACTCCCCACCCGTATGATGAAGGAGGTTTCTCAATGGGTAACAGTCCTCAGTTGCACCTCAGATGTTTCCCATTCTTATTACCTGCCCACTCGTGCGCAGTTTTTGATGTGCATGTGGACATTTGATTTTAAAACGACTCGCTCAGTTAAAAACAAAGTTTCTTACAAGTTTTTGGTTATGCTCTTTCTTATTGGAATAAAATCTGGACGAAGATTCGTTTTTTCTGACGATTTCCCAGGAGCAGGATCGCTGATTAAAACTTTTTAATTCCTCGTTAGGTTTTCCATGGTCGATAAACCGGTAAAAACTGGGTTTCATAACTTTTATTTTCTTAAAACGGCCGTAGAAAAATATTCCGAACAGGTTAAGGGGAAAACCATTGAAAAACTAGCCACTTCTATAAAAACCTTTTATCAACCTTTTGTCGAAAGTAGTTGAAAGATACATAATTAGATCAGTTTTTCACGTTAATTTCAAATCTCTTTATTTCTAAGCTAAACTGCACCGTAGTCAAAATATCTTTCGGAAAGTTCTAGTATATTACAAAGGATTTTTTCTGGACAGTTCACAATCTGTTTGTGTCGATAGATGATCGAGAGAGCTGATTAAAGTCATTAGAAAGTATTTGATAAGAAATTTTAACTTTTGTCGTTTTACCATGAAAAGAAAGGTGACATTGAATTGCAAGTTGATCAAATTAAACAGCTGAATGAAGCAGCAAGAAAACAGCAGGAAGAATTCCAAAATGAACTTAGAAATTTACAAGGTGAAATTAAAAAGAGACAAGATGAATTTAATCAATCGAAAAAAGATTTTGAAAAAAAGTTGGACGGTCTACGAGATGAATTGAAAAAGAAAGACGAAGCTGTTGAACGCACACAGGCACAGCAACGTGAACTTGAAAGTCGTGTTAATGCTTTAAACATTGACATGATAAAGCAAAAAGCTGATCATGATCTTCAATTAGCGCAGGAGCGTGATGCTGCAAGTCGTCAACTATTAGAACAGGAACACAAGACGCGTATGGAGGAATTGCAACGTGAAATGATTGCAGCTCAAGAAGCAATAGCTATAGCTGAAAAGAAACTTGATGAAGGTTGTGTCATCTTATAAACATTAGAAAGCTCTAATGGTTCGTTTCTGTATGTTTGTGGTGTCTAAAAGTTTGTTGTTCTTGGGTCCGTGTGAAACTTTTTTGTCGATTAGTGGTAGGTAATTAACTCCTTTTTTTTCGTCTTTGTATAGCTAAAAAAAATAAAACTTTTTCACGTTTTATCGGTTGTGTGAAAGCTTCTTTTTGACTAGTGGTATAGGTAGTTAACTCCTGTTTTTTTCGTCGTTGTGAAACTTTTTTTTTTTTGATTAGTGGCAGGTAGTTAACTCCTTGTTTTGTCTCTGTCTAGCTAGAAATAAAACGTCTTATCATTTCTTCGAGATGAATTGTTTCAAGTTATGAGGAATGAAGCTGAAACTTTTGCCCTGAGTAGTTATCGGAATAACTTAGCGTTCTCCTCTTTATCTCTTTCGAGCAGTTTTTAAAGTTAAAGGAGAAAAAGATGTGATCTCTTTGCGAGAATTGTCAAACTTGCACTCGAAAAGTGCAGCTTAACTTCTCTCTGAGAGAGTTCTCTGAATCAACGACAAGCGTTGCTTTAAATCATTATGATGAAAGACGTTGCAAGTGTGATACTTGTCAAACCTTCAAACGTTTTCTAATTTAGCACTCTACAGGTTTCGGCAACATTGTGGGCTAACCGGGAATTAAATCGAGAAATTTAGTCGTTCTCACAGTCCGAAAACTATAACATTTGTCGGTTTTTTGAAAAACATAAACATTACATTTAGCGAATGTCTGTCTGATTTATTGCTAGAAAAAAACATCCTTTCAATCTCATTCGAGAGGAATGAATGATTAACTGAACGGAAAAATTCGTTGATATTCGCTGACACTTGGCTTGTATCTTGCTAAGGTAGATGCCTACGTTATGCTGTTGATCTCTGAGCTAAGCTGCTCTTTTCTCATCTCGTTTTTAAATCAGAACACTGATTACTTACAATCTGTCTAGTAGAGCCATAGATCAGTTGGCTTTGCGTGGAATAAGCCAGTTCTATTTTCTCTACGGTGGAAAAAGAAAAGCATCACCTCTCTTAAACACCAAAGCTTGTCCAAGAGAGGTGGAAAATCCAATATATTAGTGGAATCTTGTAGTTTAAAATCTTGGCTTATTAAAAGCATAAATTTTCGGCAGCCGACAATTCTACGGAAGCGAGCTTAGCTTTAAAACACTTTCATATATAGGTGCCTATATTTTTATAATCACGTTTTCTACTTTGTTTAAAGCGCAAATATGAGCATGAAAATGCTGATCCAACTTAAAACGGCTTCGTTCTAAAAATCGCCTTTCGAGTAAGGGATTTCAGGGAGACTTTTGACTACTTAAAAACCACATACTTCTCACTGCACCAAGTGCATTCATTTGAGCTGCTCATAGGTTTAATTTTTTTGATAAATGCTTTTCTTTCGAAATTTTATCTTCTCAAAAACTCTTTCAGAAAACTATTAATTTGGAAAACTGACAAAAAAACACACCAAAAAAAATTAACTGTGTTTAGTTGAAACATAGTTACGCAGTGGTGGTCGAGTACAACAATTTCGAGAAGGAAAATGAAGTTCAAATAAATCGATACAAAAACTCTGAAATATGTTCTCGAAAAAAGACTTTTGTTCAGTTAATCTTAATACTTACGAGAAACTTATCAAAGAGATATATTGACATTTTATAAGGGAAAAATACGGTTTACATTGACGTTTCCAAATTAAAAGGTCCGAAAAATTCACAAAGCGCGGTATTCGCTGTGTGAGACGTAACTCAACAGAGAAAAGTTTCTTTGTTGTCCGAAGATTTAGAGTTTTGTAGCAATATCAACTATAAAAAGCCGGCAAGGAAAAGAGAGAGAAAAAGAGAACTAAGGCATGGCTGATCAAAATAAGTGACTAACGCTTTACTACGTTGAATACATTCGTGCAGAAAGTAAACTTTCGTACAATCAAAAGCAAAACAATTCGAAACATCAGCTTACACCTTAGCCAACCGTTTAAGCACGTTTTAGGTTAAAACACTCAAAATAAACCGTCTATGAAAACTTCAACGTTCAATTTTCATACTCAAAAACTTACTTTTTTTTTTTTGGGAAAGAAGCTTTTGATGACGTTACAATCAGCTCAGTTTTCGCGTATTTCGTCGATGTATTTATTAGGTAAAATGTGCAAAAGACAGGCATAATAAAATATTGACTTTTGGGATATTAAGGAAAATGAAGTCTGTCTTTTCGAAAATTTCTGTTCGATATTCCAGAAAATAAAATGGGTAACAGCAGAATAGCTCATTTACGATTTTTTTTGAAAACTTTTCGATTTTTGTCGCCGATTGTACTGCATATAGCATAATCATAGTTCACTCATATCTCGTAGCAACATTTTGCTTAAAATCTAGAGCGACAGTCTTACTCTCTTAAACTTAGTAAAAGGGCCTGCTTATGCGGTTTTTGAACTTTTTACCGCATTATATAATCTACATTGCTAATGTATGAGTAGTCTTCACTTAATTAGTTTAAAAGTGACCATGAAAGAAAAATTTTATGGTTAGAACTTCTTAACTGGATTAATAGATGAGTACTAGAAGTTTGAAATTGATGAGTTTTTTAATTAGTACAACTAACTTACAGAGATTTTAGGACAAATCCAGATACCTATGCCAGCTACTACCTTCTACGACACATACTAATATAGTTCAAAAAACAAAATTTTAACATTTCTTTAAAAAAAGTAGACTACCCCAATGGACGTCGATACTAGTCAAGTAAGTAGTGGAAATAGTGATGGCAATCTCTTTAATACCTTTGAGGCATCACCTTTTCCTGCAGATCAGCAATTCAAAAAGGACGAACGCAAAACTCTCTTAGCAGATTCTGTCGGAAGTTATGTATCTGCAAACTCACTGGATTAGACTTTTTGGGGAAAATAAAGAAAATCGTAAAACTTTTGTTGAAAAAGCAATAAATTTTGATAACCCTTTTGACTTTTGAGATTGAAAAAATTCGTGAAATGTCAGGAGTTGCAGCTTACTACTTTTCTAATGCACTACAGCAAGCAAAAAATTTTGATACTTTGCCGAGAGACAATGTAAAGCGATCAAACTTGCTTATTTTAATTGGACAGACAGCAACAGGTAATTTATCAGACTTTGCTAGCGACGGAAGTAATAAAAGTCAGACAATGGAATTTCTAGACGATGTTTTAGACAGTCTACCTCTTTCATTATTCTCGTCCAAATTCATTTTTGATATTTACTATCCCTTTGCACCACTCACAAAGACTCATACGGGAAAACAGCGTATAAAACATGCTATAGACCTGATGTTTAAAACAAACAGAACGCGGGGATATTGAAAAGTATGATTTGGAAGAACTGGAACAGGTTATGACGGATCTAAATGTAAAGTTTAAAGTTAAAAATTGGGTTCGGGGAACATTAGTTGAGCCATACGAAGAAGAGGGAAATGTCAATGGCCTTATTTATCCAGTTCATCATAAAAAATCAGGTAAACTGATTTTAATTTTTGTATTTGTTTGGGATGGCTGAAACTGGGTTTTAATTGAAATTATTTGCATTTATTCTTGGATTCTGTTGATGTACAGATTACAAGTTTTCCAGACACATTTCTCTTCCCTGCCACAGTATGATCTTAAAGCAATAGCCAGTTTTACACCGATTTTATGCTTTCCAATTGCAGAGAAAAATAAGTGGAATCCCTATTCAAATATTATGCTTAATAGATCTCATGATTCATTTCCGATAATCGAACTTTTAAATCTCTATCATTTTTCTTATGCATTTGGCTGGGCCTCATGATTTATTCTGGGTACTTTAGAGTATGCTCAGATGAAAGTTTTAATCTATCTTCTGTTGAGAACAGCTCTGGATGGATCGCGTGAAGCAACTCCTGAACTGCTTGAATTACGAGATATAGTTTTGACAAATTTAAAGAATGCTAATTCTCGTCAGAAAGGCCTGAATTTAAGTATCAATGAAAAACGGTGTTCTAGTTGCTGTCGTGTAAGAGACTTGAAAGAATTTTCAACTAATGCATGTCGAGATTGTATGAGTGCACTGGGCCATGAATGGTATGTTTAAAAACGAGAACGCTCAAGTGTACAAAAGAAGCTATATCATGCTAGTCAAACTCCCACAGAAAGAAAGCGTCGTCTAAAACAAAGTGCTTATCGACGAACTGTTTCGATCAAACTCAGCCAACTTGAAAATATACAATGGCAGCTGCTTGACGACGACACCTTCGTAAACTACCTTTGCTGTTTCGATGGTTGTACCAAAGCGTTTGATACAGCTCAAGCTACGGCGCAACACTATAAAACAGACCACGAAGATATGAAGACGTGGGAAGAATTCGAAAAAAGTGGCGGTACAATTACAGCATATTTTTGTAAAGATTGTAATGAATCGTTTACTCGAACAGCTACTATCTATTGTCATGTCGACAGAAAACATGAAAAAGCTGATAAAACATCATATACTTTATCAGAGAAAAACGATTTTGTTGTTACAAAAACCGAGGTAGCTAAATCCATGAAATAGATTCGTTTCACGCCTTCAAATAGTAAATATCTAAAAATAATGTTAAATATTTAAATGAAAGTCAAACATGAAAATAATAAGAAACTTACCTTTCCGAATATGCTGGTCGACTTGTTAATGGCTTGTGGATTGAAATTGTTTCAAACATTTGTGATAATAGGTAGACGAGACTGACGCTAAAAAGAGAAAAAATATCGAAGAATTGACAGAGAAACTTACCGTTTGGTTGAAGAATAGATATTGCCGCTAAAACTTGACACAGATAAAGCTGCTGATGAAGTTTTTCTTGATTATTTTTGCTGGATTGAACGTTGAAACCCTAGAAAAATTAAAATGGAAAAATATATAGAAATAGAAACTCCCAAAAAAAAAATTACGAGACGTTTTACTAACTCCGTCGGATGTGACAACATGTACACCAACGCCATTTGTTTTCATTTGAACTGATTGTTTAACGACTGAAGATCTTATTTGTTTGTTATGTCACCTAAAGGAGAAAAAATGTTGGAAAATAAAATTTGGAGATAGATTTCTTTCTGTTTCTTTCTACAGAGTGAATTTGTCATCCACTCGAAAGTGTAAAAAAGTCTAAGGCAAGTCCACATGTGAAAGAAACACATGTCCAAAAAATACTTACCATAAATAGGGTTAAATCTTCCACTATTAGCCGCTAATAAACTTTGACTGCATTGTTGATTTGGATCATTTAATGAAAATGCGACGATCGACGTTGACTGTTGTTTTCGACGATAGAAGAGATATTCGCTGAAACCACCTGGAGCTGAACACAAATCGCAGAAGAATGTCGTAGACTAGTAGAAGAAACAGAAAGAGACGATGTAAGCGAAGTAAATGTTGGGTGAGTCAGAAAATTTTTCCCACTCTCCCTTCCAATTTGCGTAAAGGACGTAAAATACATACAAAGCTGAAGAAAGAGGGACAAAGAACCTTATGTTTTTTATACTTTTTTACTCTTTTAGCTTGGTGCTGATGTCTTTAAACATTACTGTAGTAGAAATTCGATTACACATCAGACTAAACACGAAGAAGTTGTCGTTGGAAATAGTGTGAGTTATGCTGTGTTCGGCATTCCCTTTCTAATTGAAGCTGATCAAAAAGCTATCGATCGAGTAAGTCAGCTATTAATTAACTTTTTTTCTTTTCCAGTTCTGTGCGATGAGTCACCATAGATATAATTTGCAATCGTTTTCACAAAATCCTAAACTCGTGGATAGGACGAGAGCGGTTTTTTTCTTCACTCGAACGTAGCACATTCGATTTTTCAGAAACGTTCGTAAGAAAGAGGGTATAAAAAAATGCAACTATTTCGATCCCTAAATAGCTATAGTTCAAGCTTAACACATGCACAAAAACGCATTTTTTGAACGAGAATAGTTCGTGAAAAAGCAGACTTGTTTCCTTTTAACACATCAAGACAAAAAAATAACTCTCGGATTGTTGCCGTTTCTTTTTTCTTAAACGGAAAAAAATGTCAGTGTCTAATACCCGTAATATTATAACAGACGCAAACGCAGTGATAATAGGTAGACGAGACTGACGCTAAAAAGAGAAAAAATATCGAAGAATTGACAGAGAA